CCAAGTTTGAATACAATATCTCATTCCTAACTCTAGTTATTGTCTGGAAACCATATTTCTATTTTTAGTAATGGTGACCTTGACCCCAGGGGGTCAAAATGCAATACAAACCAAGGTTTCCACATTAGCTTGCTATACATCAAGTTTGATTACAATAACTCATTCTTAACTCCAATTATTGTCCGGAAACCATTTTTCTATTTTTTAATAATGGTGACCTTGACCCCAGGGTGTCCAAATGCAATACCAACTGGGGTCTTCATATAAGCTTGCTATACATCAGGTTTGATAACAATATCTCATTCCTAACTCTAGTTATTTTTAGTAATGGTGACCTTGACCCCAGGGGTTCCAAATGCAATACCAACCAAGATTTCCACATGAGGTTGCTATAATACCTCATTCCAAACTCTTGTTACCGTCCAGAAACCATGAAGTGGACCGACGGATGGACCGACTGACAAGCTGACTTCTATATACCCCCTTAAACTTCGTTTGTGGGGTTATAATAATCATTATCTACATAAGTATAAGTATATTTTGAAGGTGAGTGAGAAGTTCCTATCTTATTATATTATGATCTATATGAAGAGATCACAAGTTTACAGTAATAGATGGTTAATGATAGTTAGATAATACTGTATGTAAGTAAAGGCTGTTTGCCTCTATCAATACCAGAATACAATAACCCAAGCTGACATGATATGCCACATGCACTAGCAAGTTGTTGCTGTTGTTGCTCTTTCATCCTAACTCATATATTATGTACATCAATGGCACAGATTTGTAAACATTTTATTTAAAGGACAAGTTAATATTTAAGTTAAGTTATTTATATAATTATTTGAAACTTTTCACATTACATCTGGAAAATATACCCCTTTTAGGCAACAGACAAGTGAAAATGAAAATAAAGAATGTAGCACTCAGTGACTCTCTGCTATAAAGAGCAAGTTTCTTTATTTAAAAAAAAGTCAAAGAAAAGTAATAAATCACCAGCAACAAGCAGACATGTTAAATGGTAAAGCTCTCCAAACTATTTGTAAATCAATATCATTCTAAACTACTCTAACATATCACAAAGAAAGTAAATGAAGCAATTTAAAATGACTAGAACAATAAAAAAAACTTCAAAATGGACGAGATATATTATCTTCAAGAAGTCCCAATGGACATGAAAACTTCGACTGTAGAAATAAACCAATCAGCATTAGACAACAAACTACTAAAATGGTAGTTAGAAAAACCACTGTTAGAATGATGAATGATTTACTCAATGTAATTAATACATCAGGCAAGGCAGTGAGATCCTATATTGTTTTATTTGTCAAACAAGAGAAACTAGACCTATCACTGAAGGTGATTAATACCCCCACCTGCAACTTTGACTTTATGAAAAAAAAAGTAGTCTGAAGAAAAATTTGAACACAAACTATCAACTGTGTACAAAGAAATATTTCAATTAATTGTAATCGCAACTGGGGTCTTGAAATAAGCTTGCTATACACCAAGTTTGATTACAATATCTCATTCCTAACTCTACTTATTGCCCGGAAACCATTTTTCTATTTTAAGTAACACTGTAACGGTGACCTTGACCCTAGGGGTCCAAATGCAATACCAACCCAGGTCTTCAAATAAGCTTCCTTTACACCAAATTAGATTACAATATCTCATTCCTAACTCTACTTATTGTCCGAAAACCATTTTTTCTATTTTTAGTAACGGTGACCTTGACCCCAGGGGGCCCAAATGCAATACAAACCAAGGTCTTCATATAAGCCTGCTATACCCCAAGTTTGATAATAATATCTCATTCCTAACTCTAGTTATTGTCCAGAAACCATTTTTCTATTTTTAGTAACACTGTAACAGTGACCTTGACCCCAAGGGGTCCAAATGCAATACCAACCCAGGTCTTCATATAAGCTTGCTATACACCAAGTTTGATAACAGTATCTCATTCCTATGTCAAGTTATTGTCCGGAAACCATTTTTCTATTTTTAGTAACGGTGACCTTGACCTTGACCCAAAGGGGTCCAAATGCAATACCAACCCAGTTCTTCATATAAGCTTGCTATACACCAAGTTTGATTACAGTATCTCATTCCTAAGTCAAGTTATTGTCCGGAAACCATTTTTCTATTTTTAGTAATGGTGACCTTGACCCCAGGGGGCCCAAATGCAATACCAACCCAGGTCTTCATATAAGCTTGCTATACGCCAAGTTTGATAACAATATTCTCATTCCTAACTCTAGTTATTGTCCAGAAACCATTTTTCTATTTTTAGTAACGGTGACCTTGACCCCAGGGGCCCAAATGCAATACAAACCAAGGTCTTCATATAAGCTTGCTATACCCCAAGTTTGATAATAATATCTCATTCCTAACTCTAGTTATTGTCCAGAAACCATTTTTCTATTTTTAGTAACACTGTAACGGTGACCTTGACCCCAAGGGGTCTAAATGCAATACCAACCCAGGTCTTCATATAAGCTTCCTTTACACCAAATTAGATTACAATATCTCATTCCTAACTTTAGTTATTGTCCGAAAACCATATTTCTATTTTTCCTAACGGTGACCTTGACCTTGACCCCAGGGGGCCCAAATGCAATACCAACCCAGGTCTTCATATAAGCTTGCTATACGCCAAGTTTGATAACAATATCTCATTCCTAACTCAAGTTATTGTCCGGAAACCATTTTTATATTTTAAGTAACAGTGACCTTGACCCCAAGGGGTCCAAATGCAATACCAACCCAGGTCTTCATATAAGCTTGCTATACACCAAGTTTGATAACAGTATCTCATTCCTAAGTCAAGTTATTGTCCGGAAACCATTTTTCTATTTTTAGTAACGGTGACCTTGACCTTGACCCAAAGGGGTCCAAATGCAATACCAACCCAGTTCTTCATATAAGCTTGCTATACACCAAGTTTGATTACAGTATCTCATTCCTAAGTCAAGTTATTGTCCGGAAACCATTTTTCTATTTTTAGTAACGGTGACCTTGACCTTGACCCCAGGGGGCCCAAATGCAATACCAACCCAGGTCTTCATATAAGCTTGCTATACGCCAAGTTTGATAACAATATCTCATTCCTAACTCTAGTTATTGTCCGGAAACCATTTTTCTATTTTTAGTAACGGTGACCTTGACCTTGACCCCAGAGGGTCCAAATGCAATACCAACCGGACTTTCCACATAAGGTTGCTATATACCAAGTTTGATAACAATACCTCATTCATAACTCTAGTTATCGTCCGGAAACCATGATGTGGACCGACCGACGGACCGACCGACCGACCGACCGACCGACCAACCGACCGACAAGCTGACTCCTATATACCCCCCCTAAAACTCAAGTTATTGTCCGGAAACCATTTTTATATTTTAAGTAACAGTGACCTTGACCCCAAGGGGTCCAAATGCAATACCAACCCAGGTCTTCATATAAGCTTGCTATACACCAAGTTTGATAACAGTATCTCATTCCTAAGTCAAGTTATTGTCCGGAAACCATTTTTCTATTTTTAGTAACGGTGACCTTGACCTTGACCCAAAGGGGTCCAAATGCAATACCAACCCAGTTCTTCATATAAGCTTGCTATACACCAAGTTTGATTACAGTATCTCATTCCTAAGTCAAGTTATTGTCCGGAAACCATTTTTCTATTTTTAGTAACGGTGACCTTGACCTTGACCCCAGGGGGCCCAAATGCAATACCAACCCAGGTCTTCATATAAGCTTGCTATACGCCAAGTTTGATAACAATATCTCATTCCTAACTCTAGTTATTGTCCGGAAACCATTTTTCTATTTTTAGTAACGGTGACCTTGACCTTGACCCCAGAGGGTCCAAATGCAATACCAACCGGACTTTCCACATAAGGTTGCTATATACCAAGTTTGATAACAATACCTCATTCATAACTCTAGTTATCGTCCGGAAACCATGATGTGGACCGACCGACGGACGGACGGACCGACCGACCAACCGACCGACAAGCTGACTCCTATATACCCCCCCTAAACTTCGTTTGTGGGGGTATAATCATTGAAGTCATTGCTGTGCCCATCTCTATATAAACAAAACATTGTCCGTTCATTAGAGGGAGTCCAGACAAAACATTTAAAATAGGGATCGAGTCCACTGCCTGACTGTAGCGACAAGAATTATGGTGAATCATAACAAGAGGGCCATCATAGCCCTTAATCCACTAAAATGAGAAAAAGGTTTACATGGTCAAAATTTCATTATTAGCTCTGCAATTAATTGATAGCAATATTGAAACTAGAAATGTGTCCAATAGATCACTTATGCCCACAATGACATACCGACTGACCCCATGTCAGTATGCTCCACCTTTTTAATTGGGGACATAATTATGGATTTTCAGTGTAAATGTATTAAAGACTGGAATCTACATCTGGACATCCTTCACAGTTGTGCAGCTTTGCCTGTCTCTAGGTGCCATATAAGAAAGTTGTAAGCATTGAATGAAAACTATTTCTCCAATTACTGGTACATGACAGGACTGGTGAATATCACTGTTATACACCATTTCAATAAATAAATGTTTGATGAAAATAAAAATATCTTTTGTGAAACTCAAGCTTTCTTGAAATTATAGTATAAATGACTGTATGAATAAATAAACTGGTAAAACAAGATATGCAACCTTTCCAATTGCACAAGATTTAAAGTTGTTATTACTAAGATAAATCAATATATTTTTTTAAACACATATAGCTTACAAATTTGCTCCCAGAATTTCTATTTCAACTGAATGTCCAAGTTTCCTCCATCTTTATATTTCTTACCTTTTTTCCAATTTTCATTCAGCAGATTTCCCTTTTTGATTTACTAATTATTCAAATAAAGTAAAGCATACTATACCTTGCTATATTTCATCAGCACATACTGTTTATTTTACATTTACTTCTACATAAAACAGAATCATGAAGTTGGTATAAAGTAAGAACATACCTTGAGTTTTCTACGTGCATTGAATTTCTTCAAGCAATCAACTGTCTCCTGTCTATGTACAGCAGCAGCCACACGCTCACGTTGCTGAAACGAGAAACAACAACACTTTAACTATCTTCTCCACCAAACAACAATATAACATTTATATCATAATATTTCTATAACAAACTTTAACTTACAACTTGTTAAACAGTTATAAAACACTTTCATAAATCAAACAATTTCTTATCTATGAAACAATTTTTTCCTTTTCCTTCTAGTTTTTTTTTTAAATTTTATCTTCAGCCAATACGTTTCTTACAATCGTATCAGGTAGTGTCTGAAGTGTAAGATATTATACAGGATAAGGTGAATGAGACATTAAAACCTATCAAGATAATTATTTTACGTTGACAGTAAGCCCCTATTCTATCTATGATGGCAAGTCATTTTCTTCATGCAAAAATGTTTATAACATCTTGGACTTGATACAGACATGGAATATTTACTTATTCATTATTGTATATAGTGTTACCTTTTACAATCATACAAAATATCAGTCAAAAACATAGCTAATGTATTAATCTATAACATTAAGAGTGTCACCATTTGCAATACTGATCGCTCATTTTATACTGCAATAGGAAAACTGTATAATTATAGTCATTGTTAAACAAAATTTGGTGTTGCTTACAAGACAAAAATGTAATATTTGTCAAAGCTCATCAGTTAGAATAACAGTTTTAACAGTGGAAAGAAAAGACACCATGCATATTACCAATATACCATCAAGTGACAACCTAATTAAAATGTAATACTAACTATATAGTAGAAGATACCCAGATTTTAACAAGCTTTTGTTTCACACTGATGCTTTATATTGAGGTTCACAGCATGACAATGTATTAGTTTCTTGTGATTAATTAACATGTACTAAATGATAACATAACTGACCCATTATTACATCTATAGGTACACATTTATTATAAATACTAGCAAACAAAACCAATATAGCGCCAGTACTATTAAATACATATTTACTTAGCTATTCAAAGTCCTTTATCATGATTTTCATTCTATAAATTGACTACTGCTATATAATTAATGTAACAATATAAGGCTGTGATGGTTGTAAGTTTATAGTATTGCAAAGTCATGTCAAGTTATAAACTAAATCAATTCGTGAATAAACCTCATAACAGTGTCAAATGTTGCATGAAAAAAGTTTTGTGAAACATTGAATTTATGTTGATAAGCATATGTTGTTATGAATTTATGTGTTAACCTGCAAATCATTGATGTTATGTTGAAATTTTTAAAAACATTGAATTTCTGTAAATGTTGAATTAAATTATAGAACTGTAAATCATTGAATTTAAGTTGAAAATCTATTAATCAAGGCAATCATATCTGCCTCTTTACTTGTGAGCAATTATAATATCATCTTGTGCTGAGTTAGATTTTTTTTATTTATTTATGTTAAAAAGTTTCCTTTTACAGATTTGCCTTGTCTCTACCCTTATTTTTGTAATACTTAAATAGTGTTCCTCTAGATTATTTAAGAAAGTTTATATATAAAGTGCTTGATTATCGTCAAACATTTTTCAGCACACCTGTATATATGTTCATAAGTGTTTAAAATCAAATGCTTTTTCATAAAAATTTTAAGTTAATGCCTTCGGAATGTAGGAAAGATTAAAGGCAACATTTTTAGTTTTGAAGCTATTTTTGTACTTTTGAACAAACATTGACCAAATTAATAACACTTTAAGTCAGTTCAAGTGATTCTATCTTACTTTCCCATTCGAATGAACAAGATAGCCCGTTATTTACCCTGTATTATTGTTAGCATATTTCTTCCTATCTATTAGCTGTCATTTTTTTCCCCTTTTGTAAATCAATGCAAAAGGCTTTTGTTATTTAAATACAGACAATATTACCATAATATCTCCTACACAGTCTGTATATCATATACCATCATTAACAGATCTTATGCTAATGTACTCTATATTTATACAGTATAATTCTTAACAATTAGTTAATCTACTTCAAGAAAAGAACCCTCCCCCACCCGCAAATGTACAGTGGATGTCTATGCAATTTATTTATTTTTATAATTCATTTAATAATCTGACTTTGACATTAAAGTCCAATTCCAAGTGATATGTGATAAAGGAATTTTTCAAAGATGAAAAGTCTAGCCGATGACTAGATGTTATCCCTACCCTTGAAACTCCCTTCCCCAATATACTTTTAGAAATCATAAAAATGCTATGCTTTGTATATATACATGATGTATGTTCCTCTTAATACACGTTTTCTTTGTACATTTAAAAATTGGCAGACATTTTAATTTATATTGCAGTGTTTAAATACAAAGCTTTCTATGATATTCTATCTGTATAAATGACCTGCCTGTATATTTCTGCAACCCTTATATCAAATATAAAACCCTGATTAGATGCATTCAGACTTTACATTGCAATGTTTTGATCAGTTTTAAAAAGATATTCATGAAACATGCATGTCTTGTCTTTTAAATGAATACGTTCCATATAGAATTCATATACCTGACTTAGATCCTAACTGAAAAAGTTAAATAATTCTTTTATTTTTTCTTCTTGTTAATAATACATATTATAATTCAGTAATTCTGTTTTCAAATTAGTTAAAGAGAACAAGTGTTACAAATAACAAATGAATTTAAGTGAAAATACAACATATTAATTAATTGCCCGTATTTGTTGATTTTTTCATATATTAAAATAAAATTAAATGCGAGAAAAAAAATTGGTATAAAGCAGGTGAAAGCTGATTGGTCTTAAGCTATTGTCCAGGTATTTCTAACAAAGTTTCCAAATACAACTTCCTACATGTACTTAAATAGCTTTTTATAGGACTGAGAAAACTATAAATCTTTTTCATTCAGTAATTATGTCATGCAATGACTTTTTGCAAGGCTCAAACCATATACAGATGCACTTATAGCATAATAGTGAAAAACTTACTTACAGGTATGATTACCACTGTGCCCATATGATCATATTTTATACCACAATGTTTTATATCCGCTATATTTTTATCCTTATATTCCCTTTAAGTTCAGTCAAGACACAAGTATATCCAAATAAACTGTTTACACTGTAATTCCTAATTGATTTATACGATAAAAAAAACCCATTCAATGTGATATCAAATCTACCTGTCATCTAACATTTTCTTATCTTTATTCTATTTTTTTCTTTTACAATATGCTAAATTTAACATTTCTAACAATGCCGAGCTATTTCAGTGACCACCATGTAAATAAATTCATTCCAACTTTAACTGTGAAAATTTTAATACTGATTTTTCTTTAAGCCCTATATTTATAAATATATATTTGCATAGTATATTGTATACACAGAATAATTTTTTTCTGTAAGATCTTACCAAGGCGGAATGACCCCTCTAAATACGACTATTCACCTATCATCTCACAACGTTAATTGACTATAAAGTTGAATATAAACAGTTTTGTACTATTGGAATTTTTGTTAATCAGGATGGATAATTTAGATGACAAATCAGGTAATATAAGTCAATACATCAATCAGTCTTTATACCTCACATTATCTATACTAAATATGTCTGTTACATTCCTTCAGTTATCTTCGTATATGCGTAAAAGGAAAAAAATAATTATTACTTTAGAAATGTCTCCTAAATTCAATGTTAAAATGATCATACATGTTGGAACATGTTATTTTATATTTATCTTAATGCCTCAAAAGAACAAAGGTACATCTTTAAACCACATTATCTACATATGCCAACTGAATGCTTTTATAAATGAAGTGAAAATTTTTTCTTTTTACCCTTTTAAAGTTTCTAACAATTCTAACAATAGCTTTCTATATATAAAATCAGATCTATTTTCTACACCTACATAAAAGAAAATATTCATAATATGCATGCATTCAAACAATTTATTATGTCTTTTCTTTCCCTATTATACCTATCAAATAACTTGATGTAGCTCTCCTGGTCTTAAAAAACAAGAAAGCCATGATGGCCTGGCCATTTATATCGCTCACTTGCATTACTCAAACATCAAACTTGGTTAACCTGACCTTGATTCAAGTGACATAAGGTGGAAGTCCATTTAAAGTACCTACATACTAAATAATATGCCTTCAGTCAATAAATGAAGTCTTTATAAAGGGAAGTGGTATAATCTTTTGTAAATTATGATAATCTTTATTTTGTTCACTCAAACCTTAGATATGCAAGGTACCTATGGTGCTTAAAATATTCAAGTGCATCAGTCTCTATGATGAAAAGTAAGAGTGTGTGTTTAAGCCTTGTAGACCTTGACATTCACCCAAATGAATGACAACGGTTCATATGAACTTTATAACAAAAAGAAGAATCTATGCAAGGCTAACCAAGTGACACATGGGACAGGATCAATTTTGAATCAAGGGACATAACTTTGCTATGTAGATACATTCACATGCTTATTATATACATCTATTAACCAAACAGTAGACCTTTTTCATTAATGAAAATAACTTTTTATCCAATTTTCTATGAAAATCTAAATAAAAGCAACTGATCCTGCCTAAAGGGCCATAACTTTCATCAATTAAGCATAGGAAGGGCTTTAACTTCAGGTTCTCTGATATGGCCAGTTTTAACCACTTGGTCATCATTTGAATAAAATTGATAAAATTGATTTGAAAAACAATGGTAGGACTTCATGCACTTAACCAGTGATATCAGATGTAAGTGTTTAAAGGAAAATAGGAATGGACAGACAACATCAAGTATGACAGACAGTGGAAGATCCAAATAGCGCACTTGCACGTTGTGCAAAATGAGCTATTAAAAAACGTATAAAACTGTACGCTTTACCTCTCCTAGTCACCAAAGCAGTACAAACAAAAAATACATTAACAACGTCTTAAAGCAATATTCCAACTTCCTCATTAAAACACAAAAAATGATTAAATGATTAATGATATCACATTTATATTATTGTAAAGATTTTCTATCAACATTATAAAAGATAACCTGACACAATCGATATAGTGTTATCAAAGCCCTGTAAAAAAGAACAAACCTATTAATAACATATTTGTTGTGTGTACAGTACAAGCAGCATGGTTTCTTGTATTTTATCTAATTGTTTGATGCATATTACATTTTTTATGACAACAGTAACACATACATGGCCATTGCAGTTTTTTGTTACCTTTCCATGCATTAAGGGGACCTAACTCGGGAAAAGTAAAGGTCATGAGAAAGCATAAAAATACTACTGGTCAAAATTTTTCTGAAAAATTAAAAAAAAAAGCAATTACAAAACATTACGATAAGACTTTCTAAATTTGCACAATGACTTTTACCGAAATAAAATCAGGCTGATACAAACTTTCATATTTCGAGTTTTTTTTAGATCAAAAGGTAATTATTATAATAAAAACAAATTCTTCTTAAAGTTAAATAACTGACAGAAATAGAAAGTCTTTATGTATATGCATGCTGGTTTTTACATCATATTTTAAGGGGAGACAATCTAAAGCAGTTACTAGACCTGGTCTACCTTGTGAAAATTAAATAATGATAATGCATAAAAGTCAGAGTTTTCTTGATGCACTGAATCACAGAATTAAGAACATTTGTGTGTTACAAATATCAAATCATATCACTTTATTTAATCCTGTAACTTTTTTAATATAATTTTCAAATAGTTTACCTTGAACACTACAGCTTTAGATACTTAATAAAATAATTAACAATGATAGCATAAATTTATATTTGTTATTAAATGTGGACCAAAGAATTAGACAACATTTGAGAAATGTTACAAGCCTTTTTTCCACAATGTTTTCCTAATTATTAACAACATTGATGAAATTCAAAATTATCTCCAATTGTAGCAATATCTAATTAATTATAAAATAAAATAGAACTATAATGTTATATTCTTTCTTTACATATTTCTGAACAAGGGAGACATAGTCCCAAATAAAAAAAATACCTGTTTTTCTGAGCTAAAAAATGTCAAAAATGGCATTTAATTGGGAATTTTTATTTCAGAATTGGGAAAAACACATACTTTTAAGTTTTTGTAAAAGGACATCCCTCATTTTACCAGAGGAAAATTTAACAAGAAAAAAAGGCATGTGATATAAATATTTTGCTTCAGTTCAAGAGTTTAGTAAAACCATTAATAAATTTATCTACAAAATAGAAACCCTTTACAAGTCCAAGATCATAACTGAACTAATTGAATTTTACAAAACTTTTATTTATCCCTAATCAACAGACTTATGGTTGTCTCCCTCATCATCTACATACATATCTATCACCAGCTATTTTGTCAATCCCTTAATCATCTAATTTAACAGTGTTCAGTTATGATCTAACATATTTCACATTTCATGTGTTCTAACTTAATGCCATCTTCCCATAAACATGTTATAATTTGTTTTTAAATTCATCCAAATATGAATTTAGAATTTTAAACCCCCATATAAACTCATGGAATGATTTCAAAAGCTATCATCAATAATACAGGGGATATAAGAAATAAAGTCTAATTATGTATCTATATATGGCATGGTAACTACTTAAAAACTATTTATAGAATTTTTATCCCTCCTATTCTTCAAGAAGTAATGCGCCAAATTTTCATTGATGTTGTTGTTGTAACTAACTTTATCCAAATATATACAATTTACAGAGAAATAATGTTTAGAAACAAAATGCATTCCAGTAGAAATTAATTCAAAGATAATAGTTTGTAAATTTGCAGAGATTATAATTTGTTTTATAAATAAATGTGCAGTGTGTATAAGTTTTTATGTCATTCATGATATACTTTAATTAAACCATAACAAATGGAAAAGGAAAAAAGTATAACCTGTACGTACTGACAAGTATTAGAACTAGCTAGAGTGGGGGCAATCACTACAGTAAGACAGTGAATTTAATGAACATCTGATAATTGAGCCGCGTCACGACAAAACCAACATAGTGCGACCAGCATGGATCCAGACCAGCCTGCGCATCCGCGCAGTCTGATCAGGATCCATGCTGTTCGCTATCAGTTTCTCTACTTGTTGTAGGGTTTTTAAGCGAACAGCATGGATCCTGATCAGACTGCGTGGATGCGCAGGCTGGTCTGGATCCATGCTGGTCGCAAACCCATTATGTTGATTTTGTCATGACGCGGCTGATATAAAATCAGGAAAATAACGGCACATAAGAAGCTAAAGAAATGTGATAAAAAACCAGGATGAATTAAACAGTAGCTCATTCATTAGACAGTTTGTTAAAATCATAACACAGGATTAAACCAATGAAAGCTTTAATATACAATTTGCGTATTTCTTTAAAACCTATATAAGGTATAGATTTACCTTGGAATGACAAAATTATAAACTACTTTGTATCTAAAATTAAACTAGCATATCTCTATTTACAGGCACTCAAAAGTTGCATGTAACATACTTTAATCAAATTAATTAATCTTGATTTCTAAATTGTAAACTAGCAGCATGAAATTCTAGCCTTTAAAAACAGTTAAAAATCTCTCTGTACCACAGCATTCTGTATATATAATGTTTGTTTAAAACAAATGTAAACTATGACTAGATAAACCAGGCAGTAGGTCCTATGCAATAAGTATAAAAAGTTTTCTTATGAAGAAAAGCAACATAATAAAGCAAACACACATAATTCTCTGAAATGTTCATCTTAAAACAGTTATTATAAACAACCTTTTCTGTGCTTTTATTCTCCTTGTTTTATTCTCTAGTGTTTGAAGTTGAGCAAACATTGTTAAGGTCAGACCATGACTTTATTGCAGAACTTTACTGGTGGAGGAACAATATTACAGGTACTTGAAGACATCTGAGTAGAACCATTAACCATTAGTAACTTACCTTGACAACTTCCTCACATGAAACAATTTGTGGAAAAACCATACACAAAGAGCAAATGATTGCAAATTTGCTACCTTAACATGCTTTTATAATTATCTTCATGTCTTTATAAAGCTATTATTTTTGACAGCAAATTTCAGTATTTCTGTGACTGTAACCAACTTCAAAAACAAAGACCTACTTCTGAATCAGCAATAATCAGTAGTTGTTATAATGAAAAGCAGACACAGAGAATAATTCAACAAAAAAGAAAATAGTGTCCCCGAGTTAATAAACAATAACAAATATAGTAACTAGTGAGAGTTATTTGTTAGATTTGAAAAGTTTAACAGAATTTTAATTAAACAGGATGAAACATGTGTATGACTGAACACGCCAGATTCAATGTATAATATAAATGGTAATATGTTTCAAATCCATCAAGTAATATGTTTCATAACTGCATCCATTACATCTTGTACACTTGGTCATTTTTTTGTGTTGTTCAAAAGCTTCCGAGAGATTATAAATATTTTAATATAGCCTAACTTAATTATACATTGAATGTCTATATGAACATTTCAGAGAATTATTATGCTGAAATCAAAATCTGTTCAGTATGATAGCAAGTCTCAAACATAATAGGAAAGGCAACAAAAAGATACTGGTAACTGTTGGCATGACAACAGGTTGCCAAGGAAACCATTCATATTGCTATGCAACAGGATCATGATCTTGACACAATCTATGAGTTTATATGGGGTAGTTCACCTACCTACGTACCAATGTGTCCCAATCCTTCAGTAAAACAAGGAGTAAAGTGTAAGAATTTTGGTCGGAGAAAATAATATATGAGACCAGAGATAACTCTGCAAAAACTTAATCTATGAAATTTAATACTAATTACCTCCCATTGATTATTATTAGGATGTTTTTATAGGAAGCCATGTTTACTTGCATTTAAAAGTCAAGTCAATAGTAACAACAAAATACCCATAACTCATTCTATATAAAGATTTTTTTTTGGTATAAAATATATATACATTTGATATTGATACAAATAAAGAAGTATCATAAAGCAATGTAGAATTTTAAGTTACATCAGTACTAAAGCTGTTTGCAGAATTATCCTGGTCTTAACACACACATACATAATGACATACAATGGACAACAAAGTGCATACTGGACAAGTTTGTTGTAAACAGGGGCAGGTAAGCTTATAACTGTCCATAATCAATCAACATGTTTTAGTGCAAAATTAATATGGCAAAACCCTCCATGCTGTTGATCATGGATGTCATTTCACCTTGACAAGGTTAGATTAAAATATACATCTTCAAGGACCTATAGACCAGCAGTTCCTGATACCCACTGTTCAAAACTCATTAATTTGTAATTATATCTACCCAGTTTAAAAAGCAATTAGTAATAAATCTATAAAAGATTATCTGTTGATAAAACTTAAAATTGATCCCTTTATATATATTTTTTTGATTAAATACATTATTGTCTGATTATAGACCTTGATTTAACAACTTCCAATAATCTGTCATGTTGACATATCTTGTGTAATACTTCTTCTGATATATTAGTACAAGATGCCTAACTTCAAGACTTACATTCCCCACTCATAAAAAAAAATTTAATCATACTTCACCATAAAATTCGAATGACAAGATGATTCAAAAGGCATTGTTGTAGAACATCTTCAGGTATTTAAAGTTTCCTGTTTATTCAGTGCATGACATATATATATATATGCAGGAAAGGGGTAAATTACTACAAGCAAGTGCAAAACTAGTAAAACCCTCTCCAACGACCATACTGCATTAACACCCATGACCTACGTAATGTTACTGTTGAAAAAGTGGGAAATTCAAGGCCTTAAAACAAGGGACACACAAGTAATGTGCATGATGATGCAATAAATCTAATATATGGGGTTCAAAAATGGGGTAAAAAGAGAAGGGTGTAGGGGGGTTTGTAATTCTGTATAAAAAATTCCCAAACTGTCAAAAGCAGGCAAAATTTACAACAGAGCCACATTATAAACAAAGATATGACAGTAGACAACACATGTACAGAATAGTTGTTTCAAGATTATCCTAAACAATTGAATACAGTCTAAGCTACAAAACATAATATTGCCGCAAAAGCATTCTGATTGTATCTCATATTTAAATGAAGTAAAAAAAAGAGTTTATATAAATATATAATTACAATAGCTTCACTATCTATAAAGTTCAAAGAAAAAAATAGATGGAGAAAGTATGCTAAAATATGTTCAGATTTTATTATCATTATTATTCGGTCCTTGAAAATGTACACCGTTTTTTTCTAGACAATAATCTGTTTTGAATAAAAAGAAAATCTTTTTAAAAAAAAGATTGACTTTTCTTATAAACATCTGTGTATGATTAGTCAAATTACCAAGCTTCCAAAATTGACCAGTAATAGTTCTCTCCCCCTGGTTAGAAGTTAATTTGATTCTGCCAAAGAACTTATCTTATCACAAATTGTTAAAAGTTAATCATATCTCCTGGAGAATATTAGTCTGATAATTCCCTTGGTTAATTATTTACCTGACTATGTAAACAATGGAAATTTAAATAACAGGTGTACATAATCAATATGTCCTACAAACATGAAATTGTCAATTTCTACTTAACAAATCATCATGAAAGGCATCCTGAACAAGTTGCTATATTTTAACATTAAGTAATTTGTTTCAGCTGAAGGTTTGGGGTTCAGGCGAGTATAAAAGGCATGCAGGGAAGGACTTACACAGATCCAGGGGTGTTTGAGCGCTTCCTGTGCCGTGATTCGCTTGGATGGGTTTACCGTCAGCATACTATTTATGAGGTTTTTCGCTTCCGGCGTAACTGTATCCCATTCTGGTGATGGGTACTGTATAATGAACAATTCAGCATATACTTGTTAGAAAACCAATGTACCACTGAAATAATCAACTCGAAGTAAGGCCCACTTTTATTAAGTGAAATGCTTAAAGAAACACAGTTTTGCAGATAAATAAATTATTTATAAATACATTCAAATCATTCTGGTAGAACCATCAACATATAAGCCAGTTAAATTATAAAACATGAATGAATTCAGTTCATATCTCATCTGCATAGCAGAGGGGCCTTTAGTTCAGATAATGACTAACATATTGATGGTACATGTATGTTCAGATGTCAAATTGTAAGCTTACAAAATCTATCATATCACCAGTGTATTATATTAGACATACTTCCTTCAATATGATATCACCAGTGTATTATGTTTGACATACTTCTTCAATATCATATCACTATTGCAATATGTTAGACATACTTCCATCGATATCATATCACCAGTGTAATATGTTAGACATACTTCTTCAATACCATATCACCATTGCAATATGTTAGACATACTTCCTTCGATATCATATCACCAGTGAAATATGTTAGACATACTTCCTTCAATATCATATCACCAGTTCAGCATTTTAGACATATTCCCTTGAAATTAATCATGTCACCAGTTTATTATTTAAGACATACCTTCTTCAATATTATATCACCAGTCTAGTATGTTACTGTAGACATACCATACTTCCTTCAATATCATATCACCAGTTCAGCATTTTAGACATACTTTCTTCAATATCATACCACCAGTTAATTATGTCAATACCATATCACCAGTGAAATATGTTAGACATACTTCCTTCGATATCATATCACCAGTGAAATATGTTAGACATACTTCCTTCAATATCATATCACCAGTTCAGCATTTTAGACATACTTCCCTTGAAATTAATCATGTCACCAGTTTATTATGTTAGACATACCTTCTTCAATATCATATCACCAGTCTAGTATGTTACTGTAGACATACCGTACTTCCTTCAATATCATATAACCAGTTCAGCATTTTAGACGTACTTTCTCAATATCATATCACCAGTAAATTATGTCAATACCATATCACCAGATAGTATGTTAGACATTGTCACTGTCATAGTATGTAAGACATACTTCCTCATATTATATATTAGACATACTTCTTTCAGTAACATGTTTCTGGCTGGAATATTGCAGGCAAATGATTCACTCAGGATTGTCCTAACAGTTAAGGTGAATCTGTTATTTTAAACAGCTGATTAATATTGTTATAATGTGATCAGAGTTTACTTACATCATAAGCTCCTACTTTAATCTGAGCATACAATCTGTGCTGATCCTCATCCCAGAAAGGGGGATAACCCACTAGTAGAATGTATAATATTACACCTACAATAAAACATGTTCATATTTACTAAACAAAGAAGAATAATTAAACAGATTATGCTTATAATAGCCAATGTTTGTAAAATGCATTTGCTTGTTGTATACAGTATGAATATGAACAACTATTTTACCTCAGGCTTGTTTATGTTATTAAATGTTTTTTTTAAGGAAACAAGATTTTTTTCTCAGGATTACCGAAGGAAGATGACTTTTTTGGATAATGAGAAAATATTTCAATTTATTAGTTCATTGTACCTGAACCTCAATAGACAAAACTTTTTAAGTTCTTGAAATTATCTTGAACATTTCTTTGTACTATTTTTGAAAATTAAATGGTTTAAAAAAATTGTGTCTAACCTAAGGCTAACATATGCAGCCAAAATGATTTGCCAATACCACAAGTTGAGAATAAGGCTAAGTCTGAGTGTGAAAGTCTGATATGAACCTGTACTGTTAGTATTATTGCCTGCTTATTTGTAGAAATTTTATGGTGAAATTTCTAACATTTAACACTGGACATTTTAAATTTCAAGTGTGGTCAGTTCTATATTTAGATGGGTAAACACTAAAGTAAATGTGAATGCAAGACTTCCAACATCTCAACAGCACATCATGAGCAACTATTGTTGCTATAAGAGTGACAAATACCACCACCTGATCTCAATAATACATGAAAATATGTTGAACAATGGCAGAAAAAAAAGTTTTGAAAGGAAAAGTATATAATTTATAGTGCTCAAATACATGTATGTTTGAATTTTTACCTTCAAGGGTGACCTTGAGCCTGCACAATGGCAGCATGGGCTTTACATATTGCCTTGTTGAGGTTAACAATTAAGTTATGTTTAAAATAAATTCCTCAAGGGGTATAGGATTTAAAGAGCTGACACAAAATTCTGACATTTGACCTTCAAGGGTGACCTTGACCTTGAGTCTGCACAGTGACACACTGTGTCATGGTTGTGATCATAAATGTCAAATCATTGTAAAAACTTTTCAGCAGTTTAGAGGACACAAAATTAAAGATACAGGTTCTGCACATAATCCATATGTGCCAAGTTATATCAAAAACTTTTCAGCAGTTAAAAAGTTATGCAGCAGACAAATGTTACAGATGGACAGGCAGGGCCATTCATATAATACCCTCCCCTTAATAATTTTTAAAACATCATAACATTTGATCAACTTGTTATGGCACATGATTTATTCTTTACCTAATCTTTGTCACCAGCACTTTGTGCTTGTAAATATGATAAGGTGCTGAGCTTCATATCAAATGTACAGTACTAAGTGCTGTCAATTGTCCACTATTACATACAGCAGTTGTACATTGTAAACTTACCACATGCCCATACATCTACTGGTTTCCCATATGGGTCTTTGCGTAAGACTTCTGGTGATAAATAACCAGGAGTGCCTGCAAATCCTGTAAACACACAAAAACACCAAATATTTTATCAATACACACAAAAACACCAAATATTTTAGCAATATAACTTGGGCATAGATTTTTTCCACTTTTCATATTGCTAACTTTTCAACATAATTGATAACAAAGATAGAATGAGTCCCACTATCAGCTTTATAAATATAAAAATTTATTTGCACTTCATCAACATGATTTCTTACAAATGATACATAGTAAATGAGCATTTTTTAAAAAACAAAAACTAAAAAATATCTGATTTTACCTTCTTATAAAATAGTATGAAGTATACAAAACTAGAATAACATTTCTAGTATAACTTATTAATCACCCAACACTTACCAAACCATGCCTGTTGGTCCCCTTGTACCTCAATGGCAAGTCCAAAATCTGCTAATTTTACTGCTGCTCCCTTTGCTTTACTTGCTAATAAAAGATTCTCTGGCTGAAAATATACAAAGTATTTACTTATCAAATTTCAATCATACAAGTAAGGGAAGTAAATGTGATCATATACAGTTTCTGTTCATAGCAGTTGCTTCCCTTCTTTACACATGGCTCACACAATACAAATTCATTCACATGGAAAAGCTATCTAACTATATTGAGGAAGTCGGTGAAGATACCTAAGCAAATCCCTTCATATTATAGCAGTCTAGAAGGGTAATAAAATCTTTGGTAGAATGGTTTCAAACCCATGATAACTTAATGTGTTCACTTAAACATCAATGAACTTATGCAATGGTTTTTTCTTCTTCCAGTTTGAAATTGTTGTTTATAGAACATTAAAGGATTTTACTGATAAGAGAACAGTACAGAGCCCAATTATCTCTATATAGCTTTATCAGACATATAGCTGCACATATATACAGATAGTTTAGTGCTGCATGTATGTAGAAACTGGTCACATAATATACTGTCTTGTAAGGCTGCACATATGTACAACCTGGTCGGGGATATACAGTCCAATTAGGCTGCACATACATAGTTATAAGTATCTAAAATGCTTCTTATTTCTGGGTTATTTTGCACATTATAATTAGGAATATTACATGAACAGAAAGAGTAAATGGTAAATTTTGCAAATAAGGTAACAGTCAGACCTGCATTAAATTGGGTACAAATCACTAAAAAATATTTCCAGTCCGGTCAAGTCAAACACCCCTCCTCCCCTCCCCCTAGTGGTCAGTTCTTTAAACAAAAATCCTGTATGATAAAGTATCATCAGTAGCTTACTGTTTATAGTTTACAGTAATTATATTCTATAGCCTACCAAGTTCCCTCCAAATGAAATAATCACAGTATAGTACAATTATTCCCATTATTGCTGTTCATCTTTCTCGTTATCCCCAGTATCTTACCATACCTCTCCAATCAGAGTACATCTCCTATATCTTCAAATGTACCAGTAATCTCAGTCTTTTTACACTGCAGTTTATTGCAAACTTTACACAGGCTTTATCTCAAATTGAAATGTCAGACTACTCAAATAATAAATTGAATTCCAGTTACAGCTTTGCAGCAATCTTCGAAACTTCTTTCCTAGAATTATCTGAAATCTTTGCACATTTAATAGCTTGTTTTTATTCTTAGAAAATTGTACTTTGTAAATGAAAAATCAATTACTTTCATTTTTGTTGCATCTGCATCTAAATAATTGAATGATAACAAGTTTATTAAATGCTTAATGCAGCTCTGGAGAGCAAAACTTCTTGCAGAAAGCAAAGTCTTGATGAAATTATGGAAGAAGAAGTTAAACAGTGGAGGAAACAGGCTTCCTTATATGATTACAGATTAGAGTGGTGTTCTGCTTGCATTATTAAACAATTGTATAAATTTCCAAATGTTTCTTTTATATATATATAGCTCACCTGAGCATAAAGTTCTTAAAGGTTGCCTGACATTGATAATCACAAACTCTTTACAGCATCTACAAAATCTTAAAAGCTTTAAACAAGATGACATTTTTCTCACATATGTATAAATTATGGATGGGGGTAATGAATAGCTCTTGTAAAGTGTAAATGTTCTTCATTGTTTACACTGTTTGGAAAGACTGACTCTATACATTCCCCCTCCCTTTAAACTTTGTTGTTAATTTTTGTTTGAAGTCCATATCTTGAAAATCGTATATGATAAATATAAGATAGTTTGGCACCTTCTATATACATGCACTGTTGTATATCAACATTTGCAGCATAGATTTCATCATCCCATATATCAGATTATTTATCAGTTAAATATCATATAATATAATTCATATATGATAAAACACATTTTGTGAAAATTCTTCTCTTGTGATTAACATAGAATGCAGCTATTTTTCATAATTATAAAAATTTTATGTTATGCAAAATGTCATATAAAAGACAAATTGATGAGTTCCTGAACACTAAATGTTTCCAAGTCAAATTTGTTTGTTTATCTGGCCATCTGTAGACAAAATCATCTGTGCCATTCTCAAAAACTGTTCAACAAATTTTAATAAAACTTGTAAGGAGTAATGCTCAAGAGACCAATTTGTGAATATTGTAAGGAAATTGACTTACACTGAAAGATAACCTTGACCTGAAAGGTTTAATCTTGGAATATCACAACTTCTTTCAAATTTATGAATGTAGAGTATTCAGTTTTGGACATAAGAATTCTTGGGAAACAATATTTAAGGATACACTGAACTTGACCTTTATATGACCTTGACCTATATGGTAAATTTCTAGAATAAGCTTTGTATCTTATTGACAAATTTGATTCAAACTCTGACAAAACAACACTGAGCATATAACTGTAATGCTGAGCAATTTAAGTATGTCCTTGAGTTTAAAATGACCTTGACTGGCAAGGTCAAACTATTGAATTTTGCTTATTAAATTGTCATAACATTTTAATGGATTGATTTGATTCATACTTGGACAAAATATTAGGCATAATCTGCCTGTTGGACAAAATTCAAAATATGACATACATGAATACTTTAAAATGACTTTGACTTTGAAGGATAAATCATTGAATTTTTCTAAAATTGCAATAAATTTGTTATCTGAATATACTGAATTAACTCATACTTGGACTAATCATTAAAATGCTTGCGACAAAATGTCACATGGAGTTATTCAAATATGACCTTGACCTTTCAGTTATCATAACTTTCTATGTTAAATATGAAATTTATTTAAATTCTGTAGAATTTGTTACTTAAGCATAAATTTGATTAATATTTGGACATAACATCATGTTAGATAACAATATTATACTGCCTGAAGAGAAATGGATTTTTACCTCTAATTAAAAGTCGTCAATGTCATATTTGTTAAAATTATTCAAATTTACAACAACTCTGATGACTTGCAATGATGAGTTGCAAGACCTCACTACGAGGAGGTCAAAAGTTGACCCTGCTTGTGGTGCCTGTTGTTGAAGCAATTTGAATGTGTTCATATTAATCACCATTCATGACAGTTCTAGTTTTGACTGTGAGATTATATTGATGAGATTTAATACTTATACATGTGTATTGCCTTAGAATATTTGTATAACAGTTGTAATCTGGACCTTTTGAAAATGTGGGTTTTTCTTAGCTAATCCCTTTTATAACAAAACAAAACTTTAACCATCTGTTGCGCTCATTTTCCAGGTTGAAACAGTAGAAGTTTGTTTGTACCCAGCCCAACTCCAAATCAACAGGGAAAAACCCAAAATATTCTTAATTTCAGAGTATTAGTATGTTCATTGTACTGTTTATGCTTATATGCCCTTGACATATTTGTATAATATGCTATTATGATACTAAGGTATTATAGATAATCATATTTTTGACAATAGGATATATGATATCCTTGACATATCTATATAATTTGTTATTAAATACAGGATAATATCCTTGGAATATTTATACATGTATAATATGTAATAAAATATATGATGATAATTCTCAGCATATTTGTACAATGATTGACTGTTTACTGACACTCTCAAACATGTTTCTGTATTTACTTGCTGGTTACCTCTAAATCCAAGCAAGGTATGTACTTACCTCAATGCTATACCAGTAAACTATCTGACTAGTCTAAACATGTGCAGGGTTACAAGGCAGTAAAAGCAATATGTAGTGAATTCACTCAGTAACAAAGTTGACAGTAAAAAGTAACATTTTTAAAGCAATATTTTATATTTAAAGAGGAGGAAACTATTTAATAAAAAAGTTAGAGTAATGAACCTTGTCATAAATGATGTGAGTGACGACAATGACATCTCAAGTAGATACCATAAGTATCAAAGAAGATAAAGTAACCAAAACAAACATTTTTATCTTCAAATATTAAGATAGTTCTATAAATAATGGTGCTAGACATATGAACCCTTTCAAATTACTTCAATTCTTTGCAAGTTTTTCTCTGGAAAAAGCATATAATGGGAGATAATAAAAAAATAAGGCAAAGTTATCATTCTTTGCCATTGCACTAATCTCTTGAACACTAAAGTTTAACTCTTTTTTTTCTAAATTTTTAAACTGGAACTCCTTGTTTAAGCTTGGCACTCATTTTTTTAAACATAAGAGTCCTTGGACTAACATAACAGGAAATGTCTAGATAAATCACTGAGTTAACAAAGATGACTGGTTTAAATTTTAAGATAAGGTATTATCCATGGAAGGATAATGGTTGATAATGATGAAATATGGCTTATAAAATGTAATACTACACACTGTGGAGAATATGTGAATATAGATACAACATCATACTAAGGATGAGTAGGCAATAAAATATAAGATTAGCAATTTAGTAAATTGCATTATTTAAGTAGTATTGCAAAAATTGTATGGCTTTTAGTAAACCCCCACCCAGCTTGTTACAATATAATTTCAATGAGTAAGAGAAATATACAGCTAAAGTATGGACATAAGAATAATACAGTCATGTTAATTACTACAAAAGTATTTGATTTCAGCAAAAACATTTCACTGATAAAGGTGATAATAACTACTCTTATCAAGAAGCAACAAGGTAATACTAAATAGTGATACATGTACTTCAATAAAAGAACATGAATAATTAATTCCAACTTCTGTCACTTTTTAATAAGCCTGTCATAACCAAATGAAACAAGAACTAGTCTTACTGCTTGATGGTAAAAAAGAGCCTGGATAATGTAAAATTTTCTAAGTTCTTAAAGGGCCATAATTCTGTCAAAATACTATGTTAGAGATGTCTTGGACAGTGACCTCCTATTATGCTCTTAAGTACTCAAGTATGTATTCAACTCATTCCCAACAATAGTTTCGGAGATTTCAACTTGCACACAACAACTTAACTAAAGTGTGACTCCAGCTCCTTTGATAACAATAGCTCTCCCTATTTTTCAAATAGTCAAGCTGACAACTGTCAATAAGATTTCTATAAATAAAACCCACAAACCCCCACCATACCAGGTGGAAAGTGTATCATT